GCTTTCAAGCAAGGGTGCTCCATAAAGGTGAGGTTTTCTTCTTCAGGACACTTCCATTGACATTTTACTTAGCCAAACGTTTTGCAATTGCTTGCACTCGCCTCAAGGCCACAGCTAATTATTTAAATGACCTAATGGCGGCTCCAACATACCTCAACCTCTAGTCCAAAGCTCTTAATTGTCTTGAACCAAATGCCTCTGGACGTGCCCGCCAGATTCCTTTGTGCCCTATCACATATCAAGAAAGAACGAGCATCGATTTGGAGAAATTCACGGCAACCTATGCCGGTTCCGCAGTCTCTCCCTTCCTGAGCCGAAGCTACAAGCGGGCAGTAACGGGCAGGAACAAATAACACTCGGCCAAAGTGACCATCCGACGAAGACAACCACCTGCATATTCTCGTCCTGGCCACGTCCACACAGGCTCTCGGAGTTGGATGGTATTGACTCAAGCTCATTGGCACATGCTCAATGGTTTGAGCGAGTTCATGCCGATTCACAAGAACAGTCTCGATCAAAACACTACCAACTGTGTATGGCCGTACCAACTAAGAAAAGGTGGAAACAATCAGCCGCCACGCAGCATGTTTCACGCAAAACTGGCTAGAAATGGAGTTGTAAAGCACCTCTCAGACAAAGAAAATCGCGAAATGTGATATACGGGAACTCAGTGACTTTTTCCACCAATTGTTGGAACGGTTGATAGTGGCGGCCACGAAATTGATCGTATCAGCGGATTTGAGATCGATGCATGCGTGGTGCACATATGCAGACGCTCCCCGTTCAGTACAAGCCCATCTCATACCTTCTCTGAGGGGGTTATGCCAACTCGACTAATCTTATACATAGCCTTCTCCTTGCTAATCAAAATTCCATCTTATGATTTAAATCACATGCAAGATGTATCAGCATGCATTGTGAGTTTGGTAAGTCTTGTATTGGAGTTTAGACTGCACACCACATGCTAGTAATATGATAGTGCTATCGGTGAGTACCTATTTACATACACAAGAATACATAAAAGTCTGGAAGTGAAGCATGAATTTTGGTTGGGTCGAAGATGTGTTTCATCTCATTATCAATTCTAGGAACCTTACTCGCTAATCTCGAAACATAAGGAACTTGAAGTACGTCAGGTAACTTTTATTCACCATGCATATCAAATCATGAAGACATTCCCCGCATTCATGCTTATTTAGATACTTAACCTTGTCAGTTTTCTAGGACCCTCCGATAAAAGGCATATCCAATGTCCTTGGGATATTCATTAGATAATAAATACTGCTTCCCACCGTACCCACCTAGCCGTCTCGAACACTCCTCGACCACTGATGGCCTGGGTATTCTCACAGTCAATCTCGCTAATTTTGAACTGCAACTCAAGTCTCCTTACTCTACCGCTATTCACTCCTTCAAGTGTTTCAGCAAGAAGGGTACCACTTCTCCAAGAAACCTATCCCACAATACTCGTCCCATGGCCCCTGACACTTGGGCCATGTCGAATGCATGTCCCAGTCCTCCAGCTAGGACAAGGTCGCATTTTACTCCAACCTCATAAAGTCGTTTTGCCATTTCTTTACTCTCCCGACAATCAACAAGCTTATCGTTCGTACCATGCACAAGATACGTTGGGGGAAACTTGCTTGTGATATGAAGCTGTGGGAAAAGATAGCGAATACTCTCTGGTATGGCTGCTTCCATCTTTTGTTTTTTAAGTCTCTGAGTATCAGAAGATGATGGGCTGGTGCCACTGGAGCCCATGGACGCTGAAGAGCAATTGACTGTCGATGGAGAGGTTGGATCTGACGTATTGTCCTTCCTACCCGCCTGTAATAACAGTTCGCCGAGCCCTGGGAAGGCCATTAGATGATCCAGGAAGGTACCATTTTCCAGTAGCTTCCGGTATAAGCTATTGACACGCGCCTCATAGCCCGGTATGATTATATTCGATGGCAAGTTGATAGGGCAATTTGACAGGCCAGGTAATAAGGATAATTTATCCTGGGCGGTGGGTGCGAGGAACATTTTAGTGTCTCCCAAATTTGATTCCCATCCTGAAAGTGGTGCCTGGTGCACGTAGAAGGGCGAGAGGAGGTCTCCACCATTCCCATAAAGCGAAAACAAAGCGCGTGGGCGTGGAGTAGCATACAAGGCAGCGAGCATAGCTAGATATGCGCCTGCAGAAGCCCCTGCCACGGCGAACAACCTCTCCGAGATAAGGTACGCCGGCGGCATAGTTGGTCTCTGAGCGATGAGGTCTTGATTCACACTGGTTGAGAGGTAGCTGAAGAGAGCCAGGACATCCTCACAAATGTGACGTGCGGAGAACGGAAAAAGGAGGCGATAGTCTGCCGAAATCAGGGCTATTGAGGAACCAAGGACGGCGTCTGGTGGATTATGAGTCTCTTATTAGCATTTGTGGATAAAGTCGAGATAACATGAATGACTTTCAAATCCTTCCGAACCTATACGAGAAAGCCAGCAATTGTCGTTTGTGCTTTTGCGGGTACGAAAGAAAGTAGGCGAGCTACGTTTCGAACAATGTACGAATGCCGAACAAAGAAGGAAGAAGAGAGATATCAGGGGATTTTTGTATACGCACGACACAAGAAGAAAGAGATGGCGGCAAATGCTACCGAAATCATTATACCTTTCAGCTGTTCGGGAAGCATCTCCCTATTGCCCACCGTCAAACCGCCACCATGAAAGAAAACCACCGAAGCAATCACAGTTGGGACTCTGGGTCTTTCTGTTATCGCAATTTCCACTGTGCTGACACTTTGAGGATCAGGAAGGTAGATATCGAGCTCGATATCAATACCACAGACCCTGTAGTACGTGAACGTGTATTTTTGGACCATCTGGCTTCATTCACCAAACCTCGACAACCAGTGAGCTTACAGACACTCCCGTCAGGGAAATTAGTAACCCAACACTGGTAGCTGACACTATGGGTAGTTTTTGTTGCGGATCTAGAGGACAGCAGGTGAAAAACTGGAGACCGGATTCAAATAGATTTCAATATAGGTAGGAAGCAAGTGTTTTGAGGGTTTCCCCACTTCGGTCAAAAAAGAGGGGAACACGACAAATGTTTTCTGGGATGCTAAGTAGCTGGGGAAAATATTTAGCTACTGTGAGATGGCTTAATATGCAAGGTACAAATAGCCAATCGACTTTTCCGTCAACAGAGCGACTGCCCTCCAATGGCAGCGTAAGAAATACTTGTTCGACAATACCGGTGAGGGTCTAATACGGCATGGAAGCCGTTCATTGCTTCCGCAACAGAGGGTTCACGCGTGGCTCAGCTGCTCCGAGCAGAAATGACATTCCGACAAATAATATGATTGAAAGCTGATATACATACACATGGAACGGCAAAACGCTTGACACCTGGCTTCACATTCGAGCAGGATCAGGTTTCTTTGAAACTCATTATACCGATCTTACTCTGTACGCACCTGCGATCCTGCAGAAATCCCGTCCTCCTAGTGCCTCGGAAGAGATCGATACTACAAAGGACGGATAAACTTCACAGTCGTGAAGGAAGATCTGTGCTATCGGATGTGTGCATCCCTCGCGATTTCGTTCCGAGTCCATTAAGCTGCAGAAAAATATGTCGAATGTATCTTATACTGCACCTACCCAGCGACCAATGAATGACATCACTAAAACGACTTTTAGATCGAAGGAACCTTTGTAGCGGCACGGTTAGAAGTGCAGCCGCCCCTAGATTATTCGATTGGCTTCAGGGTCCCAGAGGCCCGGGCGCAGCTGCCCAAACTGTTTTAGTGCACGAGACTTCCAAGTATACAGTCGGTAGCGCCTAAACTTGCACTTTTTGTGTTCCAGAAGTTGAAGGATGCTTGAAGGCTGAAGAGAGAGTAGGGCACTACTATTATTGAAGGAGTAAAAGGCCCAACAACCCGATGAAACTAGGATCTTTGAGGACTCGTGATAGTATTTAGAAGCCCGTGGCCGCTGTTATGCTAGAAGAGACAAGAGCAGAGTTTTCGTCAGAGATCTAGAGATTCATGCCGGTGTAGGGCCTTCGCTAGTCTAATGCCCTTCTTCTAGAGATGCCTCAGGTTCCCACTGGTGTTGAGCGGTTATTACATATGTCATGATCTCAATGTGCCACCATGAAGTGGTAGGGAAGGAAAGTATGTTCGGTGACTTTGTCTCGGTTGCGCTCAGGCTGCTGATGTCAATTATTCACCTGACGGTCATACTTTTCGGCGACATTTCGGTTCATAATCACGAGGTTTTGCAGAAGATATGAAAATTATCCGCCTCGCAAGCTATTAGGACTAATAGATATGCAATAAGCGGGGAAAGGACCTGATAAGTACTAGGATTACTTCCAAACCTTGACAATTCTCTCGCGAGAACCACGTGGGGACAGGCCACTGGTATGGCAATTTCAAGTAGAGAGCACGATTCTCAGCAACTCTCGGGCCTCACGCAGTTTGGTAATTGGTCAAATTGGTATAGCGAAGTTCTTGTGACATGGTACTGAAATACTATCCCATGCTCGGAGGCCAGTGTTTCTGATGATCCCCTTGTCTAGTTCGTAAACAACGCTTTTTACTGTAACCAGACTTGCCATACCCAAGTACGTAACAAGTAGTCTCCTCACGAAACTGCGGAAACAAGCTTTTACGGTCTCACACGAGGGAAAGTTGACTCTTTCTTAGCCTTGACTCACTCCCAGGTGCCGAGCGGTAAGATAATTGACAAGAGTAGATTATTGCACATCTGGTAAAACTGCTCAGACCCCTCTTCTGTCACGTGAGATATCTAGTCGGACACAAGAACAGCAATACGCCAGAAGATATCACAGAGCTCTACGAGAGGCCAGTGCCATCCAGAGGTGGCACTTATGAATTGGCTTTATAGTAGCCTCGCTTCCAGTCTCTGAACGTTGGTTTGGTGCCAAGACATGTTTATAGAGCCGCTAACTGAGTAACTACAGAACCTCAGGGAGGAGAAAAAATTATGTAAGTCCCCGAGGCGGTTCGAACGCCTGACCTAGAGATAACTGAACTGCAATCTCTCGCTACTACCACTGAGCTACGGAGACCAAACTCCAATGAGTTGTAACAATTATTGGCCAGCGTATTATATAAACCTTAGATTTAAGATATTTGATTACGTACACAGGCACTGCTTTTTTCCTCCTTCCTATTTTGAATGTATGGGGCTTGGCGCCAAGCATATGTGCAAGACACGCATGGAAGAGACTTAGTCGGGCGGGCACGCCTCCCGTAGATCCGTAGATCAGTCGTATTATTTCGAGTAATTGACTAGCGCCGTTCAGAACTGCAACGTTGGAAGTGCTTAAGCAGGCAAATTATCGCATAGTCAGCAAACAGTAACAATCAACCTTATCAGAGGTAATACGATACGTTTGATGTTGGTACTGGTATCTCTATAAACTGTTCTCGTGCCCCAGCTGTAAACAAGTGTTTCCACAATGAGGTTTATTCATTTAGTCCTATGCTTTAGGTCTGTTGATAACTTATGTTTGGGGGGTGCCATCAAAGCGAGTCCTACAGCCTATCTCAGTGTTATATCCCACGGCATTTATCTGGCAATTTCCTGCTACACCACAAGCGAAAGCACTGGGACGCAAGCCCAAGCCTTTGGAATTTAGAGTGTATAAGGCCAAAGGGCCTAACCGGGGAGTAGAACGAAACTATGCTAGAGAAAAAAGATGGAAGTGCTTATGTTGCTCATGCATCACCGAGTTCCTAAGTTTGATGATGAGGATGATGGAATATTGTCGTCCTACACAGCTGAAGCAACTTTGTCGTTTGAAATTCCAACTGTTCCCTCAAACATTACCCCCCCATAGTTGATGGCGCGCTCTCGCATTCAATACTGTATTGTAGGGTAGCTGCTTGATGTAGAAGTAGAATTCGCATTGCTGTGGCTCGGTTGTTCTGTGCGCGCAAGTCAATTTCTCGAAATAATACGGTACTTCTCGTATTGATGCTATCTAATCTATGACGAGTACACCGGCACTTGACTCTGGTAATCCATACCTTATTCTCATAGCAGCCCAACAAGCCCTAACTTATTCATATGACCGTTTTCTGGGAGGAGGCCTTGCTTGAACTGCGTTGCCTAGGAGTAATCATAGGTTTATTCTTTATCAACCTTCCAAATACAGTGGATGCGGTCTTACCTATGAAAGCTAAGATTCCGAGCTGATGTTGTTATTATTTGAAATTAATAAAATATCTTGGGACCGCATGTCCTAGAGCAGTCCATACATTGGACTGTGGTTTTTTGATATACCCTCCTTGCAAATTCGGTGTTCACCGCAAAATGGCTTCTCCAGTATGGGTCTCTGGCAATGTCAATGGTTTACACCCAAGTGGAGTTTGCAGCAGCTACAATCCTATAATACCGTTACAGCGAAAAATAAAACTGACCTGATCTCTGGTGGATACCTACGGAGGATGATCGCCGAGGTCAAGAAGAAAGGCACTTCTAAGAATGGCTCCACGGCACACTTGGCAAGGGTGGGATCATGCTCACCTGTGTATCCTCTGCAGACCGGACGAATGAGGTGACCGTGCAGCAGAACGTGGCATATTTCCTTCATATGAATTATACATCATTTCGTTAATTGGGAAGAATTGGGTTATGATGTGGGGTTCTGCTATATGCACTTAATGATAGGAAACATACGAATGCTGTGGGGGTTATGGGTAAGCATTATACTTCTATTTGTTTCAAGAACATATCTCTGGAGTACGAAGTAGGGACTGCAGTTTGGTAAGACCTTAACCCACTCAGCAAAATGTACCGGGAAGAGAACTAAGAAATTCCTCTCCACTCCCATGAATGGCAATTGCCTAAGAATTTACAGCAACTCCTTCATAACTTCCTATACACTAACAAATCTTTTAGAAATATATAGTAATGGTTGTCAATATCTCGAACTACAGCTGCCAATATCAATAATATCTAAATTAGTTTTCCAAAAAATGTATTTGTAAGTCCAATACTAGTTCTATCGCAGTTGCAGTTTTAGATATTGACTACCCCTAGTATATCCCAGAGCTCGCTCAAATATGGGTATCTCGTAGGTACTGTCGATGTCACGAATTCAGATTTCAATTATGACTCCGGTGGATTATTACAGGCCACGAGAGATACATACCTTTACCATGCTTCAGAATGTACTTGCTACACCCCTCCATATCGTGATGCGAGCTGATAAGTATATGTTGATCACATTTATGTCCTTATTCAATAGTGAAATTGCTCTGATAGCATGAATAGCAACATGATATCTTGAGACATCAGTTTGGCATGTCCCTGAAGCAAAATCAACTGAATTTAATATTTTGATGGAATTTACATCGAACAGTATTGTAATCGAACAGTATTGTAGTGTTGCCCTCCTCTCGATAACCTTCAATCTGAATTCTGTTTCCTAAACCATACCTGGCTAGGCCGTATATAGAATAGCCGCGCCAGGTCTGTTTCAGGCTGCCCTAGCCGCACCCATATGACTGCCGAAGACTCTGAATGTGACAGTATGTCAACCAGACTAACTGTATATATCCTGTAGAAAACGTGAATAGGATCACCGAAAGAAATAAATATACTCGGTAAACGCTATAGCTTTAAGACGTCAAATGTTCCTAAAACCTACCAGGAGAGGAACCATAAATCCTCTTTTCTTGGGATGTAACTTCAATTGAACCTCTCGTTTATTTGTCAATATCCCAGCATAAATTCCCATAGCTGAGTCTCGCATTTACACCATGCCCACTTCTAGCCAAAAATGTCACATCTTCTCTATTAAAACCGGTTTATATTCTGTAAAGCTACCGCTGTATGCCGCCAACACTCTGTAACCGAAACCCGCCCCAACTTCTAATTGAGTCTGGGATTTCAAAGCTCATTTCTCCACCTGCGAAGCGAGCATATCCCCCATCAAGATGGTTTGTCCGAGGATCCATCTGTTGCGGGCATCTCATCGAGAGATTATGCAGTTCATAGTGGAAAATATGACAAAGCAGTCACGGTAAATAGCGAGAAAACGCATCCCTTTTATGCTCCAATACTAATGCACCCTTCCAGGTTACATCAGAGCCTTGTAGTGCTAGTCATAAAAACCCCTGCTCTGGCTATTGTGAGATCTGTCTTAAGCAGCCACCAAAAACACAAAATATTGCCCATTTCAATTCAGCTCCCAGTCCACGCTCAAACCCTTTATCCACTAGATCTTCAAATGGGCAAGGAGCGGAAGATCCGAAAATATGATTCCCAACAGTATCAGTTATCGGTTTATCCCACTTCGGCAGCCGGATTCCTTGGCAAGGAGATTGTGGAAGTGAATATAATGGCACTTCACCTTGAAGGTGGTGCATCTGCTTGTTCAATCTAGAAGAATTTCTAGGCAATTTGTGAGGTGGCCGCTTTAGCACCTTTTTGAGGGTTTTCGAATACTGATGTGTGGCTCAGAATGGGTTACTCGCATTGGGACTGAATCCAAGGCAAAGGTGGGGAGTCTCAAGAGTGCGCTCAGGGTAACCCTCATAACCATGAGAATTAACTACGCATAATGCCCTTAGCTTGGTATTACGCAGCTGAAATGCAGGTATTGTCTTTCTAGATGATTTCCCTGACCTCTTCTAGGTAGATGCCCTCAGCAAAAAAACGGGCTGGACGGCCCTCACCGGAACCACCGACTTCTCCGCCATTACCGAAAAGGCGGAATCCAAATCAGGAATACAAGCCTTCATTGGATATCTTCACTGATAGAGCATTGCAGATGTTGGAAGCTACTATGTGCAACCAGGTGGAAACGTCGATGCCCTGGTATTCTCTGGAAGAATTGAGAGCACAAACGGTTGTTCCTGATATTATCATAGAGATGGAGTCGAAAGGCAGCGGATAGCGACGAAGACGATGCCGTGTTCGATATTACATACTCTACAACGAATAAAGGGCAATCGAAGAGAGTCCTTGTGTGCGGAGCGGATGAACAGGTTCGTATCGTATACTTACAGCCCCCATTTCCCGGGGCAGCTTAACTGACCTTGAAATGGCACGCAAGAATGGGTATCATTGATATTATGTGCACGTAGTAATCAATTTCCTTCTCTATATACCCAATACAGTACCTGGGCCCGTGGCGCTTTTTTGGAAACAACCAGCTCGAATTATATTCATTTGTATGGAGGGGCATTCTGGTTTACCCCATTGCAGGTCCTTCAAGTCCGGCTCCCGCATATAATCATGTAGCCTACACAGGCATGAGCATGTTCAGGTTCACTACAACCTGAGCGTATTCTGGTGGGCACCAGCCTCTCGTAATGCTTCTCTCCGAGCCAAATGGCAAAGTGCGAAAAGCTAAGACGACGCTCGAAACCGGTACTATGTCGAGTCTAGGACAGGTAGGGAAGAAACCCCTATTGAATTAGGATATACAGTAGCACCCCTGGATGTTAATATGTTGAGACATGCATACTACCGACCGTACCCGTGTATAAGACAAAGACCCCCCGGAGTACGGTACCCAGGGGGTTGCCTAGCAAGCAGGCACGAGGCTGTAATTGCTCGAGGATGTGAAATTCAGTACTGCACACATCTTACTCCAACCCCCGGGTATATATGGACATTCCATTTATTATTTCTTATCGCCAGCTCGATCACAGCATTCCATAAACCAAGCGCGATAGGAGCGGAAGCAGCTTTGTTGTACCATTTACGTTTGGTTTCTGACCGCTGGCGCGTGCAGGTGCATGCATAACGCTTCAGCTTGGCGTAAATTCCCGTACCAGCCTGTAGTTATCTCGCCACTGCGGCAATCAATACAGATCAGTGCCAGTGCAAGCGATACCACAGGCGTTCCCTGATCTCAAACCCCACTGAACATTTTTCTGAAGATCTCTGATCTGGGACAGTATCTGTGCTCTCCTGTAGTTACTTTCTTTTTCCCTCTGCTTTTGCCGCGCATGACCTGAGCAAGCGTGATTTTTATTTGGCCTCTTTTTATTTTTCCATTTATTTTTAGAGATGGGGGGGAAGGCGATACAAGTAGGGTCACATTTCATC